CATGCACAACAGAACAACACACTGCCCGGTCCTGCTCTATCCTCACAATCTTTGCTGCCACTGCGCCAATCCACCTCATTGGGGATCTTCCTCTTTTTCGCTGATCCTCCACTTCACCAAGTATAACTTCCTTCTCCAGTGACTGGTCCCTCCTGATAACATGTTTGAAGTATGAGAGGCAAAGTATCACCATCCTTGCCTCCAAGGAGCATTCTGGCTGAGCTTCCAACACAGATATATTTGTTCTCCTGGCCATGGTACTTTTAACATTTTTCTCCAACACCATAATCTAAAGGTATCTATTCTTATACGGTCTTCCTTATTCATTGTCCAACTTTCACATGAAAATGAGAGAAATAACGATGGCTTGGTTCAGGCACACCTTAAGTCCTCAGACTGATGATATCTTTGCTATTAACATTTCCAGAAATCTTGAGCAGTGTATCTGCCTAATGAAATAGGTTGTTTGATCTGACTGCTGTTTTCATGAATATTGATTGAGGATCCAAGCAAAATGAAGTCTTTGACAACTTCAATCTTTTTTTCCATTTATCATGATGTTATTTATTGCTCTAGTGGTGAGGATTTTTGTTTTCTTTACATTGAGGTGAAATCCACACACTCATTACAGTGGTCTGTGATCTTCACCAGTAAATATTTTAAGTTCTCTTCGCTTTCAGCAGGCAAGGTTGGATCATCTGCATATTGCAGGTTGTCAATTAGTCTTCCTCCATACCACATTCTTCTTCATATAATCCAGTTTCTCAGATTATCTGCTTAATATACAGATTGAATAAATATGGTGAAAGAACACAACCCTCACACAGCTTTCCTGATTTTAAATCATTCAGTATCCCTTTGTTCTTTTCAAACAACTGCTTCTTGTTCTATATACAGATTCCTCATGAGCACAATCAAATGCTCTGGAATATCCATTCTTCACAATGTTATCCATAGTTTGTTATTCATAATCCTTTCCTCACAGTTGGAAGTCTTTGCACAGTCAGTAAGACACAAGTAAATATCTTTTGATATCCTCTGCTTTCAGCCAGGATCCATCTGATGTCAGCAACGAGATCCTTAGTTCCACATCCTCTTCTGAATCTGGCTTGAATTTCTAGCAGTTCCCTGTCAATGGACTGTTGTAACCATTCTTGAATTATCTTTATACAGCCGGTAAAAAGAAAAGTAATTCCTGTAATGCTACAATTGACCTATTTTGTTTTTCACAACACAGGTTATTAACGCAAAAAGTATGACAAATTCATACTGTACAGCAGACAATTTTAATGGATTTATATAACATTATGCATACAATGATCACCTCCCCCCATACTTTCATTCTCATCCTTCCTCTCTGTCTCATCCACACACTTCAGTACTCAAAGTGGTTCTTGGTGGTTCTGACTCCTAGCAACCCTGCATAGGGTTTATGAGGCTATAAATCTTTACTGAAGCAGAAAGCCTCATCTTTTTCCTGCAAAGCAACTGATAGATTCGAACTGCTGACCTTTCTGTTTGCAGCCCAATGCATAACCCACTATGCTACCAGGAAGAGCAGAAAATATGAGCCCACATACTTGTGGGTGGGCAGATGTGGTGCTGGATGGGTGTGAATGTTCATTTCTGATTACTCCTATTTTCTCAGAAAAAGAAGAAGCAAGGTCTCCAGCTGAGAGTGAGGTCTAAGGAGGAAGTTTTGAGGTTTGAGAGAAAAGAATCTTAGCTGTCTATGTGAAGTCTGTCTGTGATCAACAACAAGATTTTGCAAAGCACATGTAATGGTATTTCTAATGGGTCTTATCCTGTTGTTTCCAACTGTGACATAATCCCTATACTGGAAAACACCAGAAACTCACGCATATCTCATACACAAACACACATCTGTACATTCTAAAGAGACTGGAATAAGTGGCAGGTGCATCCCGCAGGACTTTCTAGAAGTAGCAGAGCTGCTCTGTTATCAACATCCCACTGCAGAAAACCAGGGATTTGAAGAATTCACTAGTCATTGTTCTGTGTTTTTTCTTTCCCCTCCTGAAATAGGGTGTTCCTTATACCCTGCAACCTGACAAATGACGGAGGGCCTACTGGCTGAGCGTGAGTGTAACTGTATGAATGACAATGACACCTTGCTTCCTGGCTGGGTGTCTGCTGGGCAGCCTGATCTGTCCTTGGAGTCCATTTGAGGGGATGGGGATATAGAGATGGCATAAGGTGGGACAGCCTACAGTACCAGCGATGGATGTGTCCAGGAACAGTGAGTTTCCCATGAACCCGTGGAAGACAGCTGGTTTGAGCCCTTCCTACCAGTATTCCACTTATAAAAACTGTCTGTAGGGCAATACTGGGGCGGAGGGAACAGGAACCTAAAAAGAGTGAGAGGAGGAATGAAAGGGTGTTTGTCCATGCTCCTATCTACCATCTAAGTCCCTTAGGCCTAGGTCTGACTGCTGGACCAGAGAAACAAGGGTGCGACATTCAAGTTTTCAAATGGCTTCAACTGAAGAATAGACTGGATTGAATTTTTAACCCTCCCGCCACCCCCAACCCCAATTTCATTCCTGTCCCAAGGACTGTCAAACTATAGGATTACACAAAATAATTTTAAGGGACAAGAGGCTCCAACAGAGTATTATGATGTAGTTAGAAATATATAGAAATAAAATCATTTGGGTTGCTTCTCAATAAATTAAGACTACTCATCAAACCAGTTACATTAATGAAAACTCGGTCATATTTGTTAAAATACTGTTTTGCCCTGTTCTACATTATAAGATGTAAGTATTTGGGTCTGTTGAATTTTTGTCCATGCAGCGAGATGGACTGGCAAAGTGGCAGCATCAATGGCTCAAGCGCGGCAACAATTGTGAGGTTGGCCCAAACAACAATCGAATTCCAGTGTTCAGCCTAGAAACTACAGGCTTTCCTAAAAACTGGTGAAAGCAATCTCGGAAAGACAAAGTAAAGAAGTTTTCTTTTCTCCTACAGCTACAGAAAAACCTACCCTATTCTACATTATAAAGTCAATTCAATGAAGTGCATGTGAAAGTTGGATAATGAATAGAAAAAGAATGATCTTTGAATTATGGTGTTGGGGAAGAATGAACAAATCTGTCTGGAAGATGTACAACCAGATTGCTCCTTAGAAACAAAGATGATGGTAAGACTTTTCCTCACATACTTTGGATGTATGATCAGGAGATACCAATATCTGGAGAAGGACATCATGCTTGGCAAAGTTGCGGGTCAGTGAAAAAGAGGAAGATGGGTTGGCAGTGGCTACAGCAATGGGCTCAAACATAACGATTGTGAAGACGGCGCAGGACTGGGCAATGTCTCATGCTACTGTACATAGGTCACTATGAGTCAAAACCAATTCAACAGGACCTACCAACAACAAGCCAAGTGGGAAATTGAAAACAATAATGATTGTTTCTACCTTAATTTTCTGTCCAGAAATCTTTTATGAAAATGTACACTCTTTATGTCTGTTTTCTATTACTCTATAACTGTCCTCTAAAGTATTTGTGCAAGAGTCTTTTAAGATACCTGGATTTAAGAGATTACTGTATTTTATGAACTATAATCCATGACTCCTAAAAGTCTGTAATTCTGATTGGTTATCCCACTTAAGAATTTTTTTTTCTAGTTTTTGCTATTTAAAATGACATCTGTTTTCTGTAACATACAAAGAAATATGAGCATTCTTTAAGCCAGAGAAATAACTTTGACATTTCCGTCTCCTTTTATGTAAAAGAATTGTAAACCCATGTCTCTGTTAGCATCTTTCTTCACATAAAGTTGAGAGTCTCAGTCTCATTTAAGGTAGAACACAGGTGTGGCTTAAGCATCAAACTCTCTCTGGCAGTGCATCTTGGCTAGGTAATTTCTGGCCATCAGAAACGCAGAGGCCATATGAAACAGATGTGGGACTGCTTATTGAAAACATTCACATCAGCACAGCTAGATGAGCTTACAGAAGATTTATTGAGTGTTTCCCATGAGCCAAGTGGTGTATGAAGTCAAAAAGTGGAGTAATATACATACACTCCCTGAGGAGACTAAGACTGACCCAGGAGACACACAACCAGCAAACAGGAACAGTTTGGTAAGAGGACAATGGACAGAAGGTTGTGGGCACAGTGAGGAGAAAGTGGACAAGTCAACTGGGACAGGTTTCATCCAAGGGGTTCTACTTGAGTTGGATCTTGAAGGATAAGTAAGATTCTACTTGGTGGGGGAAAAAAAAAGAGAAGAGCATTTAAGGAAATCAAGAAAGGGGGTGATATGTTGATTGAAAAATGATGAAAAAAGTTCAGCATAATTGATTTGTTATTTATGAAGATAACTCTGGAGGGCAATGAAGGAGGCAAAACTGTAGTTAGAGACACCAGACTGGAGGCTGTTCCTAATATTGTTATTGGGAGCTATTGAGTTGATTCTGACTCACAGTGACCTCATTCAACAAAGTAGAATTACCCATAGGGTGGGTTTTCCAGGCTGTAACGTTCACAGGAGCAGGTCATTTACCATGTTTTCCTCCTGTGAAGCCACTGTTGCTGTTTTCATTGCTGTCCCTTCTCACGTCCCTGTTCTCCTACCAGCACTTGTTGGAATTGCCTCCCAAATAAACTACTTGCACTCAAATCTTTGTCTAGGAGTCCACTTTAGGGGGAACCTAATCTAAGACAAACAGGAAAGAGTGAAAAAGTAGATGGTTAATAGGAAGACTCAAGCATGAAACAATGAGAGTTCCAATTTGGGAGATGCTGACCCCACCACCACCACCCCACCACCAACAACAACTGATAAAGTTTCTTCGTTTTTAAACAGGGATAGATTTGGAGAGAGTAGGAAGAATTTAGAAATAGTGAGTTTAATGTGCCCAAAGAACTTGTGATCTCAAAATTCCTTGACTCTTGACTTGGAAAAACATGAAAAGAAACAAAGCAGAAAAGGGATTACAGTGTCTATACCAAGAAAACAACCTCCAAAACGAACATCACATGTCCCTAGAGAGCAATTACAGTATTTCCTTTGAACCAAGAGAATATAAAGCCTTTCCTGTCTTTTCCAGACGCTTTCGGTATTCTAGTTTCTCATAGTTGGAAGGACTCACTCCTTTAAAACCATACATAACTCCCCACCAGCAACCAGCAATGGCAGCCGTGGAATCGCTGTCTCCACCATGGAAAAAGGCTCTGTGGGCCAGCTCCTTCCAGGAGTCTCCTGCAGCAAGGATGGCATCATAGGCAATCATGGGGGCATCGTGCCCACTGCTGCCACCCCAGCCAGAGTAGCTCACGGAGGTGTAGAACTGATCTCTCTCTTTCACACTGAAAGGCTTTGGGAAGGTAGGAGCTGATTTGCCATCCCAAATCCCTCTAAGTTTTAGATACTTTTCCCATTGGTCTTGGAAGTAGGACCTATAGGAAAGGAAAACAAAACAAGACAAAAACCTACATCAATTGACAAAATAAGTAAGGTCAAAAGGAAAGGTATAAGATGGATGTGTGGGAATGGGAAAAAGTCCAAGATGACTTCAATTTCTTGTACTAACCTATATACAAATCAAAAGTAGCTCTAAGCAACATTCATTCAATAAATTTTTGTTAAGGGTCTATATAAGAAAGGAATTGGCAACTATTGCTACATAAAGAAGATATATGCCAAGTTAGAGAGTAGAAAATAAAGGTTTATTTTTCCTAGGTTAAGGGTAATGTCAAGGTTTACCTTTCAAGGAGGAACTGTAGAATGTCATGACCACGATCAATTTCAGCAGAAAAAGACCTTTTTATTCTAAGAAAGGGAATGTGACGTGAGCTCACAAAAAAGGGAAGATGTGATCTGACTACCTGTTCATTGTTGTTGTTCATTAGCTCGTGGAAAAACCTATCTCTTGGGCATTCTAATCTAGGATGTCAAAATATTGTTAGTCAGTCAAAGTAACATTGAAAAACTAAGCTCCACGGAACTAAGAGATAAGCAGGAAAGCTCATTTCAGTATAACAGAACCACAAAACTAGAGGAAACTGGAACAGAACAAGATCCTCACACAGAGGGAAGCACTAAGGCAGGCATCCGCTTGACTACGTACGTCATGGTAACCATTGCTAGGAGTGAGCTTGAAATCTTTAGTAGATGGGCAGGGAGGGAGCTAGATAGAGTGGAAGAACACAGGAGGCGGTGCATGAACGCACCCAGATCCATACACATTCTAACATGCTCATACCCTGATAAACTTACCAGTTTTGAAGATTCTCCTCCACAAAGTAGCCTGATTGGACAATGTACTTTTTAGCTTCTGGCAACACCTCCATCAGACCTTTTCCCCACTGTTGGGGTGGTTTGCCATTCACGGCATACGCTGTAAAAAGAGCAGACACCAGAGCACCCAGGTAGCCTGTCGGGTGGTGGTGGGTCATTCGGCCACTCTCGATGCTCACTTGGATCAGCATATTCTTCTGGCTGTGGTGAGGGAACCTGAGACCGATACACATGGCCCGCATGGCAGCCCCACAGCCACCCTCGTGGTTGTTGAAGGGAATCCTCCAGCCATTGGCTTTCTGTGGCTCCAGCTGCATGGCATTCCTCATTGAGGCATTACCTGGGGAGAGTCCAATAGGGCACGGGCATCAGTGTAACCAATGCAAATGCCCTAGCAGAAAGGTAGAACCAAGCAAGTTTTTTCAATGGAAAGGGAAAGCAAACAAAATACGATAACTGGACTCCTGGTATGGCACTGTAGGATTAGCAATGGACTGCAAACTACAAGGTCAGCTGTTCAAACCCATTAGCTGCTCCTTGGAAACCCTATACAGGGTCATTATGGCACTTAACAACAGCAACAACAACTAAACGTCAAAGCCTATATCCACATTGGCTTACATGATGGTGGTGTGCTTCTGAGTCAGTTCCAACTCACAGGGACCCTGTCTAGGGTTTCCAAGGAGCAGCTGGTGAGTTGGAAGCACCAACCTTGTGGCTCAAACCAACCTCATGGTCCAGCGCATTATTCTACAGCACCATTGAAAATGGTAGGTGTTTGTGGCCCACCAAGGGGGTTGGATAGCTTGCTCATAATATAAATAAGTCCCATGGTACCTTTGAGGTGGGGTACCATGCTAATAAGGTATATGAATGCTCAAGTGGAGATTGGTCAGTTTTGCCATCCCATTAGGTTGAGAAAAGAGCCATCCCAGAAGCAGAAAGGGAAAATCTCACTACCATCAAGAAAGAAAAGGCAGGAGTGAGGTGTGTCTCTTGAACTCCTATACTGAACCTCTTCAATCCAAGAGACACCAGAGATAGAAAGAAGTGGTGGAATTGAAGCAGAGGAGTAGATCCAAGAGCACAAGACAGTGCGGTGGGATTCCCAGGCCACAAAGTGAGATAACTGAATTCCTTCAGGCATGAGGCTTACCAGTGGAATATATTGCCTCCAGGCACTTAAATTGGGGGAGCTGAGTTTGCCAATACACAGCTGGCGGGAATTAGAGTTGAATGCCTCAGGACTAAGGCTGACTAGTGCCATGAAGTGCCTTTGGGCATTTATCAGCAGAGCTAAAACAGTTTTGTAACACTTGCTCGAGCATGTCAGAGACCAATGGACGGACAGCCTGAGAGACCAAGGACCATGACTGAGAAGAGACTATCTTGATCAAAAAGTTAAACGTATCTTAAGTATTTTTGATTCTGAATTTATAACCTGTTAGCTTTCTTAATATACCCCATAGTTGTGACTACTGTCTGTGAGTTCTGTGAACTCATTGCAATGGATTAGTGAACCCAGCAGAGAAGCAGAGAGTGCAGAGGAAGGGTGGTGTCAGTAGGTACAAAGATTGGGTGGAATTAACCTTAGGCTGATATTGATAGTGATTCCCCTTTCCCCCCACCCTCACCCCAGTAAAGTGACAGGTCACATGATGACACCACCATGCCCTTGCTGCAACAGTGTACCCCTTTCATACTTAATACATAATAACCTTTCCATACCAGTAAATGAAGTCCTTTGGTAATGAATAGTTAATGTGCTTGGCTGCTATCTGAAATATTGAAGGTTTGACTCCACCGAAAAGCATCTTGGAAGAAAAGCCTGATAATCTAGTTCTGAAAAATCAGCTAATAGCTGGGTGGTAGAATCCCTGGGTGGTACCAATGATTGACTACTAACTTTTGACTACTAGTCAAAGGCTAGTTCACTGAATCCTCCCTGAGGTGTCTCAGAAATAGGGTCTGGTAATTAGCTTCAAAAAGAGCACAGTCTTGAAACTATGGAACAGCTCTACTCAACACACATGGAGCCGCCATTAGTCAGAATTGACTTCAGAGCAACTAGCCATTTTGAATCTGACAACCATATGATTTACTATGCCAGGAATGACAAGTTGAAGAGGAATGGTGGTGCATTCATTGTCAAAAAGAACATATCCAGATCAGTCATGAGGTACAATGCTATCTATGATAGAATAATATCCATGTGCCTACAGGGAGGACCAGTTAATACCAATATTATTCAGATTTACACATAAACCACTAAAGCCAATGAAGATGAAATAAAAGAATTCTACCAACTTCTTCAATATGAAATTAATCAAACATGCAATCAAGATATACTGATCCGAGAACAAACAAGATGGTGGATCAGGTAGAAGTGCAGTGAGGAGCTCCATCAGCAACAACACAGAATACCAGCAAAGCAGGCTCAGGGGGTGGTCCCAGAACTCTGAACCACATAAAAAGGAATATTTAGAAGGTTGGAAGGCTTACAGCTAGGGGAATTTGTAGCAGAAGCAAGAAATCCATTACTTTCTAATTCAAGATGCTCAGCTGCTCCAGGAGCCGCCATCTTAGATGAGACGGAACAGGGGAAGGATCAGAGCAGCCATGGACGCCTGACAGAACTGCAGAGATAAAGGTGTGGACACTCTTTTTTTTGTATCTGTTCATTGGTCTCTTGCTGTCTGCGCACCTCCATTCTGGTGATTAGAGGGGGTGCCAGAGTGAGTGGACACCCCACCCCCACCCCCAGAGTGTTCTACTACGCATACGAACAGATCTCCTCAAAATTTAAAGTGACAGTTTCCACTTAAAATCAAATGGCAGCGCAAAACAGCCATAGCTGGCCCTGAACTGTTTATCACTAGGAAAAAGGCCTAAACAGGGATTGTGAAGTGGGACAGGCAGACTAAAAAGGAAATAGGCCGAAAGTTAAATCCTGAGTTATGTCACAACTACTAACAATGGCATCTTGAAATTCCTCAGAAAGAAAAGTGAAAAGGGAAGTCCATCTCCGGATCACATCTACCTGGAAGCAATCAGAAACCATAAAAAAGTACCAAAATACATACCCATCTAAGTATTAAGGCCACAGATAATTCCTGAATACACCCAAAAAACAGAAGCAGATGACCATATCAGCACAGGTCCACAAACGAGATAAAGTGACTGAGGCAAATAAGCTGGGAGTAGACCTACACTCCATTTTGGAAGATGGGCAGGCTTTGGAAATGCCTGAGAAGGAATTCAGATAAAAATGATTATAAAATGTATCAAAACACTATACAATGGAGTTGAGAAAAATAAGGAAAGAGCTACAGGAACAATTAAATAAAATAGATACAGCATTGAAAACAATGCAAAACCTACAGAAAGAGGTCTAAATGATTAATAATAGAATATCAGAAATGCAATACACTGAAAGGGCAAAGGAGTAGAATCGAAGAGTTAGAAGCCAGAAGTAGTGAGCTAGAAGATAAATCTCTCAACACTACTAAAATAGAAGAGCAAACACAAAAAAGGATAAGAAATCTGAAGAAAGCCTAAGATTCACTTTGGACAACATAAAGAAGATTAACATAAGAATTATTGGCATTCGAAAACAGGAATAATCACACAAGCCCTCAGAGCAGATACCTGAAGAGCTTCTGGAAGAAAATTTTCCTTATATCTTGAAAAATGACAAGATAAGAACTCAAGAATCTCAATGAACCCCAGGAAGGATACACCCTAAAAGACAATCACCAAGACATATCATAATCAAGCTCTCCAAAATCAAAGAATCCTAAAAGCAGCTAGGGAAACAAAAGTGTAGCATACAAAAGCAAGCATATCAGATTAAGCTCGGATTTCTCAACAGAAACCATGCAGGCAAGAAGGCAATGGGGAGACATATATAAAACCCTGAAATAAAAAAACTGCCACCCAAGAATCCTCTACCCAGCAAAGCTGTCAATCAAATA